ATGAATGGAATTAAACTTAGATGAATCAATGGAATAGTTTTAGGTAAATGATTTAAAAAATATGATTGTTCAATAACCTGTGAAGAGAAATTGGAAAATTTGGTCAATTAGAGAGGATTCTGCATAATAATAATAATATTTGGAACAAATTTGTTATTAAATATTTTATTACACTATTTTCTACAGACCCAAACATCCCATATTTTTGACCAAGTTCTTTATATGTGAATTATGGATTTCTTTCATAAAATTCACAAAATTGTTTTTGATTGATCAATTGATGACATTTTTAAATTTTTATTTAATGTTAATATTAGGAAATTAATTTTTAGCTGAAATAAAAATTTTTTAATGCATTTCCTAGTTCTTATATTTATAAGAAAGAAATCAGTAATCTTTTTGTGACACATTGGTAAATTCAATTTTTCACAACAAACTCATTACTAAATTCAATTGCTTTGTTTTTCGCGACAATTCAATTACTTATTTTTTGTGACATTTTTGCATTTATTTAAAAGTAATGATCGACTTGAAATCTTCGTGATGTAAAACGTATGGGCCAGAAAAGTACTATTATGTAAAGTGTTCCTTGTAATAAATTTCAAATCCCGACATTTTGTACTTAATAGTATTATGAAGTGAAAATTTGGACGCGATTATCTCGGAATAACTCAACGGGAAATAAACGAGTTTATCTAATGACTCATGATGACTAAAAATAATTCTACACGGAAGGTTTAATTATTAATTAAGGAATATATTAATTAGTATAAATTAAGGTTTTAAAGAAATCGGAGAACTAGATGATAGAACCTCTAAAATGTATAAATACGTTGTAAATTTCTCTTTCATGTAATCTTTAGTTTTAAACTCAAAAAATTTCTCTGTCTTGAAATAATAATAAATAACCTTGACCTTGACCTTGTCCTTGTTATCTTTGAATATTATATTTTTGTAATGATAATAAATCTATCTCTAACGACGAATTTATGCTAATCCCATGCATAATTATTTTCTCTTGTTTTATACTTAGGATTATTATTATAGATAATAATTGACACATGCCAGCTCAGGCAGCCAACAACAGAAACTGCTGAGAAAACGTTACCGGAGGGGAAGTAAGAAAACTTGCCCTGCAGATGGAATAAGAGTTAAAGTCTCTTATTGCCATAAATAATAAAGAGAGCATAATTACATAGCTGGATACTGTCATAAAACAAAATAAATAGTATTTTAATCAAATCATAAGATCATCTCACAATACATATATCTATAATAAGCAGTTTTTGAATAATATAATTAGAAATCATTAATTATTTAAAATGTATTAATTTGGAGTATGAATATATTCCATTGATTTATAATGATTAATTATTTATTTTTTAAATATTCTACTAAAAAAAATTTTTTATCAAGCATTACATAGAAAAAAATGTTGTTAGGTAAATATATAATAAAATAATAAATAATTAATATAATTAATAATTTTGCTATTAGTTAATTAGTTGAAAAACTATAATTCATCAAATTTACTGTCATTTGCTATATTGATATGATATTATTATAATTTGATGATCTGCTTTGAACATTACCATCTGTTTGAAACCAAATATTGACATTTGTTATTAATAACATAACTAAATTTTGCAGTGTTTATATCATTTCTGTTACTTATATTAAATATAAAACCTTCAGTTGTATTTTTATCCATACTTCCATTCCAAAATTATGTTAATGACAATGAACTGGGCACTTCCTGGTGCACTGACGTTTTCTTGGAACTGGTCCAGTGTCATAATTTATATTTTTCCTGGACCGAAGATTGTATCTATTATTTAAATTAATACCACCACCAGATGCTGTTGGAAGAAGGACATCTGTTGTTGTGGTGGTTGTTGTTGGAAGGATGTCAATTGTTGTTGGAAGGATGTCAGTTGTTGTTGGAAGGATGTCAGTTGTTGGAAGGATGTCGGTTGTTGTTGGAAGGATGTCAGTTGTTGGAAGGATGTCAGTTGTTGGAAGGATGTTGGTTGTTGTTGGAAGGATGTCAGTTGTTGGAAGGATGTCAGTTGTTGGAAGGATGTCAGTTGTTGGAAGGATGTCAGTTGTTGGAAGGATGTCAGTTGTTGTTGGAAGAAAAATATTTGTTGGTATATCCTACATATTTGAAATATGTGTATGAATGTATGAAAGTAGTATTTATAAATATATATATTATAACACAAAATATTATAAAGATATAATAATCCATTAATATAATAAAGATAATGTTCAATATATAATAATATAATCTCCAGTTAATTATTTCACAAAACAGATTTCTAAAATAAAACAGAAAGTAAAAGGAACTTTAAAGATACTTACATCATCACCATAATCATTAAAATCATTATTAATAACCTGTAATGCAATTTAAATTTTAGTCTTCATTAAGAAAAAAAAATAATCAAAATAAAGGTAAATTTACTTCAAGATTAACATTATTGTTATTGTTATTCTGTAACAGGAATGCAATAATACAAAGATTAATTTTTAAAATGAATATATGAACTAACTAATCAATAAAAAATTCATTAAAAGCTTGCCTCTTCATTTATGAGAATAGACAAGAAATTCTCCAATAAATTGTTTATTGCATTTACCATCTCTTTATTATTATTAATTATTTTTTCAAAGTTTTCCTGTTGTATATTTCTAATTGTTGCTGTAAGAGATGTCAAATTATCTAACAGATGATGAGATGATGGTCTGATACAAAAGAAGTTGAAGTTTTAATTAGTTAGAGTGATGACGTGTGGCAACGATCGCAATAACCACCGATCTTTATATATAAACTAGAGTGACGACGACAGGTGGTGGGCGATAACCACCACCACCATCCTTAAAACACTTTGTTTCTTTTGTTAGTACTTTTTTGTTGCGACATGTTTATTTTTAAAAAATAAAAGTATATAGAAGTTTGTTATTTGATCGACGCGTACACAATAATTATTTATCTATTGGTTTTTTTTTCTGGTAGGACAGACACGATGATTTTTTTTTTTTTTGGAAAAACAAAAAACAATTTATTTTTTGACAGTCCAAGGTGACAAAACGTGAACGTTGTTGTTTGGTTTGGTTTGGGTCTCCTAAAGAAGAAGTGTTAATAACTAACCAGATGTACTATTTTTATTTGTATTGATATTTTTATTTTATATAAATATTTTAATTGGTAATAAAACGTGGGACAGATCTTACTGGGTAATTACAAGATTTTCATTGATAATATTTTACTTTTCATAATCAATAATAATATTATTATAAATATTATAATTACAAGATTTCAAGGCAGCATACCGTTGAAAAAGAGACATTTCAAATACAAAACATTTTGATATGCTATGTTTGATTATCGGAAATTGGCAGGCGTTGAAGCACTCACGCTATGCTGCCTTGAACACATTACAGTCATTCACTCATTCCTCATGTACATAAGGCTAATCTGACTTGCCTCCCCCGATGATACAACGATGCAACCGAATTCCAGGGGGGGATCGCTATGCCCTGGAGTTTACCGAGACTGCATCAATCGTCAATGACACTTTCACTAATCTTTCCTCACAGCACCCAGACCAGAGATGGCCGCTGGCATGCTGGCCGAAAAAATCTCCTGCAACGATCCCACCTCTAGGGCAAGGATGGCACTGTGACCAAGATGTTGCAACTCTGCTGATTAATATTAAAAGGATCTGCGGCTCATTCCAAGCACAGGAGGTCACAATTCAGAGCAGGGTTGGTGGCATTTGGGCTCTGATGTTAAGAGGAAAGTTGTAAAATAGTGTTTGTTTTGTATAATCATTTTCATAAATGCTCTGT